AAGCGCAAAGCTCTTCTGAGGGCCGACAAATATTGAATATATCTTGGACCCCAAAAGTTCAGTGAAAATCCATTGTAAATGTTAAAATAATGGGATATACTGAAGCTTCGCGGGAAAATGTGAAAAATCTCTACCTTTAACCGTTATGATAGCAGGCCAGAAAGGAGTTTTTTTTTTTATCAGAAGCCTCCCATTAATTTTCGCATCACGCGCTAAAAGCAAATTTTGTTGACTTTTCACTGCTTTCAGGAGCATCATTTCAGATCAGCTCTTTAATGTCACCATCACTGGACCCTAGAAAACAAGTTCTTTTGATGGGAAAATATTATGATATTTTTAATTTGCCACAAAACATCAACTATAAATAAAAAATAGCCTCCATTTGGGGCATTTGTCCTCAGTCATCATCTTACCTGAGACGCGGACAGTTTTCTGAGAGCGAAGCTTATGGAAAACTGTGAGGAACATGTATAATGTCCAAGCATACTTTAAACTCTAGAACAAAAATTCAAGCTTTCAAATCGGCACTCTTAATCCCCACGGTTTTAACGAGCGATTTTCATTCAACTAATTTATACTTGTTTTCTCGTCACCATATTCTCACCAATAGCGTAGCTCCATTTTCTGTATATAAACGTACACATAACCCACAGGTAACCCGTCAAGTCGCCCGAAAATCATCTCGCCCGAAGTCACGTCGCCCGAAACCTGAGTCATGTTGCCCGAAATTCATAGTCATGTCGCCCGAAATCCTATGTCATATCGCCTTCATATGAGCCTTCATCCCTGTATCGAGTGCGGAAATGAAATTCGACCACGCCAGCAAGCTCTTCAGTGCGACGATTGCGGCTTTTGACAGCATTGTATCTGCGAAACTGGTATCGACCAAGCCAGCTACTGTTTGGCAATAATCAGAGGAAGAATAGATTGGTTGTGCGTTGCATGTTCTCTTGCGGCATCGAACCTAAGTGACTAGGTCCCCGCTGCTGAGAGCACAAGAACCGACTTCGCTTAAGGTACGGAAATTTTAAGTCCACTGTTTGTCCCTGAAATAATTTTATTCTTAACCAAGAACTTAACCTTTCTAGCCCAAGTCTTATCCTGAACGTTTTTTCCCCTAAACGATTTTACGATAAAAATGCGGTTTTAATTTTTGCTTTGCAGATCTTTCTCCAGAGTATCCGCCTCCTTGCAACATCAGCCAGCCCGATGAACGAGAATCACTACAATCAACGATGAACGAGAGTTTCTCAGGTAAACCTTGATTACTTCAAGCCTCACACCAAATATTCTTACGGACTTAAGTTGATGGCAGACTGTTTTTCCTTTTTGAAAACACCAAATTAGCTATTGTCTTTCTATTTTTCATTATTTTGCGATCGGGGAAGGGCTTAACCCAAATAATATTCCAAGCAGCCGTTCTTCGACAAGGAGCACAAGTATTTATCGGTGTTGTTTATTAAGACATTGCTTTTTTTTTTTTTGCTTCAGGTGACCCCGTGCCTCTACTAACTGTATTACAAGAAGAATCATCAGCCGAGCCAACTATCTTTTCTGTCGACCCGGTCCCAGAGCAGTTAACCTACCGAATAATAGATGATGGGACCATCCATCGAAAAAAGAAGTTCAGGAGCGCGGGAAGGAGACCACCTTTTGGTAATGTACGGTGCGCCCGAAAGAGAATTACTGCAGGGCTACTGTGGAAGAAAGGAATGGACAAGTTATGACGTGAAAACAGTCCCACAAAAAAAAAATAAGAATAAATTAGTTGAATGAAAAGCACTCGTTGAAACCGTACGGATTAATAGTGCCGATTTGAAAGATTGAATTTTTGTTCTAGAGTTTAAAATATGTTCATATATTTGTCCTTGGACATTATAGACGTTCCTCGAAGCCCACAGTTTTCCTTAAGCTTCGCTCTCGGAAAACTGTCCACATCTTAAGATAATGACTACGGACAAATGCCCCAGATGGAGGCTACTTTTTATTTATAGTTGATGTAAAATAAAACCTTTCTGGCCTGCTGGCATGTCGGTTGATAATGTTTTTGGCTAAGATATTTTTCACATTTGCCCGTGAACCTTCAGTAAACTCCGTTATTTCAACATTTACAATGGATTTCATCGAATTTTTGGGGTCCAAGATGTAACCCTTGTTTTCTATCTCATGTGAGAATTCTACTGTTTCAATATTTGTCGGCCCACAGAGGAGCTCTGCGCTGCTACACAACGGTATCAAAGTGTCCCGAACATATATGGGCTACTATATCACCGTAAGGCATTACTGAAAACGAATTAAGTTACACAATTATAAACAGTCAAACTGTGTACAAACCTAAGCAAATAAACAAGCATGTTAGGAATGAGTGCCGTTGCCTGGCGGATCGCGCGCGCACTTAAATAATTAATAACGGTGATAGGACCGAGTGGAGTCCAATTCGTTTGTAATCATATGAGTGATTGACAAAATCGGGCGACCGCGAAGCTGGAGTCTGATTTGTCAATCACGAGTAAGATTACAGACAAGATTGGACAACACGAAGTCCTTTTACCAATTAATCATAACCACTACAATTTCCGAAAAAAAAGGGAAACAAATAAATTTAGGACAAACATCTCCAGTAGTGACAATGTCTAAAGTAAAAAATTTGGAAATTTCCTGGTTTTTTTCTTTCAGGGTAAGTGGTTGTTGCTATGGTTATTGTAATCAACTCTGTGATTGGTGAATTAAGCTAAGCGGACATAGTATGATTGGTTGCTTCAACTGTCCGATTGCAGGTGTTCGATTACAGCCAACTGTCCGATTACAATTATGCAAATTGATAAGTGAAATGTAAAGCAACTGATGCACCAATCCCATTTGAGGAAATTGTGATGGTTATCATTAACGCCGTAAACTACCTGTTGACAACATAATCAGGATTTCTGGTCTTCGGAAAACAGATTTCAGTAAGAGTTCAGGAAGTAACGCCTGATGCAGTTCATACCAAGGAGATGTAGTGATCAAGATTCTCAGACAAAACTCTAGACAGAGCTTTAGTGTTCAATGAATTTATTGCTCACACTTCTTAACTTCTTTCTTTAGTAAACTTGGCGGAAACTTGTCCTACAAAGTCCTCGAGCAATGAAAAGGAATCATACATAGGCTTGGTGGGTGAAGCAACAGTTAGAAAAAATACGGTCAAAAATTTACCTAGAGAGTTGAATGAATCTTATGTCAGGCGTATTTAACAATAATATGTCATGAAAGACTTTTTTGTTAGTCTTTCAGGCTAATTTCCTTTGACTGTTGCAAAATTATTGTTTAAACAGCTTTTTTCTAAGTTTGTAGTGGCCATTGTTGCCTTTCGATTTTTAAACAAGCATTTCTCCACTGGATTGAAACCGAGCTCAAAGGAAATAAAGTGGTGGTCGGTTGATTTGATAGCATTATGCAAATTCCATTTGGTGAGTATTGTGACAGCGTCAAGCTACAAACTGCAACACTTCAAAGGGTTAAAGATTCTCATTGGTTAGTTAACACGGATTTCCCCCCGCAAGTTAATCATCTGAACAGCTTACCAACTATTGCGTCCCTTTTCGGAATTGATTCTACATGGAAGAGATTGGGTTTCACTTATGAATCAGTATTGTACCGAGAAATTCGTCAGTTTGAAGCAGATATAGAGAATATTCCATGGACGCGCGTAGGTATGGAATTTCTCCTCGAGTGTTTAACTCGGTAGCTCACGAGTGAGTGCAGCGAACGAGTCAGATGTCACCGTGAGTTGAACACAAGAAGAGAAATTTCATATCTGCAAGCAACCATTTATTATTTTTTTCGTAATATAAACAAGATAGCCCTTTACTGACCAGAAAAGTCAACTTTATTAATGAATGAAAATGAAAAGATCGACAATCTCCTAATAAAAGTCGTAAAGTGCGTTGGGGCTAAGGCTCAAGATGAAAAACTGCGTTGAAACACTACGAGAACAAACAATGAGCGTAATTTTTAATATACAAGTTATTGGTTTGGTCCTTACAGGCCGAAGAAATCTTTCAGGTACACGACCAAAATCTGCCTGTGGCAAATCTTCCAGTTGTCGATTTTCGTTCTCAGCTACGAGAAATGCCGTTATCAAAGCCACTAAATACGTAACTTTCGGTTTTTCTTTCCATCTTTTGGTTTTCTTTCCTCTTTAGGAAAGTTTGAACGTCACCGTCTGAGCGATACGGATTTTTCGGTGTTTTAGCAACCATAATCTGCAAAACTTCCGACAAACGATCTTGGATTGAGAATGGTAAAGGCTTCGCGGTTCATTCATCAACGTGGCGCGAAAGGCGAGTGATATGTCAGCAGCTGATTGGCGATTTCAAACACCCGTGAAAAAATACGAAATTTTTTCAATTGTGTTTTTACGGTTTTTCTCAGGGCTGGAAATCCTTGCATAACACCGTAGCTTATATGATAAATTAGGTAATCTTTATCATTAACAGACGCTGGTGAAGATGCTTTCAGGAAAGGATGTCATGTAGCTAGTCTGGATTCTCCAATTAAAGAACCCGTTACAGGTTACAAGCGTCACCTTTTTAGCAATTAACCACACATGTTTTGAAGGGGGAATTCCTTTTTTCAGAGGTTTCCCATTTTCATATTCTATTGCGGAAAAAAATTTAGCCATTTCGTGGGTAGAATGGAAATGGAGAGAGTAATGCGCATGTGTGATTGTATGCGCAATCCCATTTGTTTGCACCAGGAAACCTTGTTTTACTTTTAAATATTGAAAAGCAAGAAGTCAAGGAGGAAGCAAAGGAACTTGTTTATTTTTCTGAAAGCTGAGATTGACAAGCTTTTGGATTAGCAAGGTTCTCATTGATTGCCACCGGGTTTAGTTATGAATTCGTGTAAGTTAAGTGTTGTTTCCTGGGGTGATAATCTTAATGTTATCATTCTCAGAGCGCACTGAAGTTTCCATTTGAGATAGAAAGTACACAACAGAGCCAAAAATTATAGGTTTTGTTTTAAAAGAAGACAGCGAGCCACAGCAGGACCAGGGACCACAGCAGCGTAGTTATGAGGAACAAAACACGGGAATGGAATGAAACGCCTGATGACCTTAGTAAATCTGCAATAATACGAGAAAAAAAGTTAGAATATGCCTTATCTATACAATAGGGCAAAACTTACAACACAGTCAATTAATCACCAACTAGCACATGAAGTTGTCTTTAAATAGGTAAGTATCTGCCGCCCCAAGCTTACAAGGCTAGTTTCTTTATGACAGATGATGGCTGCAAGATGTTATTAATATTTGGATACGTTAGGGTTATTGAATGGGCAACATCTTCATACAACCAAGGAGTGTATTTATAGCCAGATGGCAATCATCCTTAAGCTTTGTATGTGTGGCTAACAAATGTCCATCTTGTCATAGTGGCTAGACTTGGTGTGAAAGCTTACAATTTACTTTCATAACCATCAGGGTACAATACCATCTCACTTATCCTACCCCGTCCCTTCCATTCTATCCATCCCAATCTATCTCAGTCAATGGTGTCTCATCCTATATTGCTCTCTTCTATCTCAACTTATCCCATTCTTCCTCATTCTATCCTATCTGTCGGAATATTCCATTCTATCCTAGCCCATCCCATTCTATCTCAGTCCAATCACTAACCTAATTGACACGTTAGGTCTGGGCCCAGATGAAAGCCCCTCCTGCACAGACAATTTCCTCTCTGACAATATAAATTTTCTTCACACTCTGGAAAGCAAATTTCTGAGGAAAGTAATAACAGGTTTTAATGGTAGCATTGTTTGTTTACAGCGGGCACCAAAGATACATTTATAAGCTTGAGCTTAGTTATCTCAGCTCTACGACAGTAAAAAGACTCTTTTCCAGAGGTGAAATTAAATGTGAAACATTACCTGAACAAGTTCCATCAGATTCTTTTCGATAACCGTCTTTACAGGGACATTCATAGCTACCATTTCGGTTCTTACACCTTGAAAACTTAGGGCAATCGTATGTGTTCTCCTTACATTCATCGATATCTATATTAAACAAAAAGGACATATATATAACTTTCCATGTCCTTCTATTTTAGATTGAGTCGTCTTTGATATAAATAACTAAATTAGAGCCTTTAAGAGAATATTCCCTACTTGGGGCAAATGGGTCAATCTGTCGCTTCAATAGAGTGACAGGCAGTTAAGTTTCCCCTGAACTAGCTGAACTTTGCGGAAGAGAAGAATACCATAGGTCCCTTAGAAAAAGAACCCTATATGACGCTGACAAGCAGATGGTTTTTTATCCTCCTGTACCATGAGGTCACAAATGAAAGGATAAATACTGAATATTAAAAGCAAAGAAAGATCCTCGGGGGCGTACTCCGACTTTTTGCAATTGTACAGAGGAAGCCGCAAAAAAAAATTCAGGGATCGACAGGATTCGAACTGGTGCCTTCTATATACTATTTGATGCTGCAACAAAGGAAATTGGTTAATGTGTGATACCCAAATAATATCTGGGAATCTCGTCGAATTTATCAAGGATACCTCTATACAATTGCCAAAATTGCACTGCACTGGCTTGGATTATATCTTTGCCTGATTCTTGTTCGCTGGTTAAATGAAAGTTGTTCCATTTCAACTTATTTATAGACATTAATGAAACAACATTTGTAATAGTGTAGTTTGATCGTCCGGGTGAGAGTAGTCCTGGGAAAGACCGTTGTCGGTAGTGGTGACTGACGTTTCGACAACCTGAGCGGAAGTGAGTCAAGTGAAAGGTTGTTGTCAGTCGAATGTAGTTAGTCCGGTTTGTCTAAACTGATTGGTCAGTTTTGCCGTGATGTTATTGGCTGTAAGACTCAAGTGGCGTAGGTCAGTCGTGATCGGTCGGTTTGGATCCGTTGGTGAAGTTAGGTTGTTCTGTTCGGTTCGTTTGTAATGTTAATGTCGTGAATGAGTCGTTTGTATGGTGCCGGTATTGGTTGACACCTGTTGAGGGGAGTCTGTTCTAAGTTAGTAAACCAGCTTCCAGGGTCAGTCGTTGAAATTAGTTGGTGCTGTAGGTTAGGCATTTCGCAGAGTCCCAGTCAATAGTGTGGTTCGTAAGTCGGTGATGTTCAGCAATGTGATTGTTGACATCGCCTTTCCTCGTCGCTCGTTTGTGTTAAGTCAGTCTAGTTGTGAGGTTTCTGCCAGTCTCACCGATGTAAGAGAGTTTTTTCGAGTTTTTTTTTTTCGAGTCATCTTGCCTTTTTTCTCAGTGGGCGCGTAGACAATGAAAAAGTTGCATTTAACAGAGGAGAAGCATTGGAAAAGTTTTAGCATGAAGGCTGAAGATTCACGGTCCCCGTGGAAATCGCTAAGGCCAAAGTCTACGTAATCAAATGCGAGTCCAAAATAGATAATAAAATAGATTGTTTGGGGTTTCAAGTGCGGACCAAAAAGAAAGTTCAAGCCGCGTAGATTGCTTTTACCGACTCCAGGAACACAGAAACATCAAACTGACCGAAGAAACACCAGTTGACTACATTTATTGGATTTATTTTCCATTCGCAATGTTCAGATCAGTTTTCGGAGCTTTTTCAGTTATTGTTTCGAACGTCTAAAAGCGTAGATCTCATAAACGCCGGAGTGTACAATAAGTTAATGTTGGCTACAATACCTTTTGGGGAGAATTTGGCCACAGGCCCAAGTTGTTCTTATGCATAGTTGTCGACTGTTTTTATATCGTGCTCTTCACCTAATCATTACCTGCACAATATAATTTTTCTGAGCGATATCCTTGGTCACAGCTGCAGGAGTAGGATCCAAATGTGTTTGTACAAATCATATTGGAATGACACGAATGACTAATTGTGCACTCATCATAATCTGAGAAAGTAGAGAGAGATATGACGGTCAAAATTTTGAAACTCTACTTAAACTCATAAACACGCGTTTTATTTGAAATCGATATGGATGTCGAAGAAAAATCATTTATTCTTAAGATTAAAAAAGGGCAATGTTTCTCACCTTCACATTTCTTGTTTGTTTTATTGAAAAAAAATCCATCCGGGCAGTTGCATTTGTATGATCCATAGGTGTCCTCACACACTGCTGTAGAACCACATATGTATTTTTTCTCGCATTCGTTTATTTCTACGATAACAAATGTCAGTAGATAACATAAGTGTAATGAGTCAATTATTTATAGAGCCGGGTTGAGCGCTTTGATTGGCCATTCGCAGCAAAGCGGGAAAAGGAAACTAGCAGAAAAATAACTAAGTTATTTACCGGTATAGGTCGGTCTGTAAGGGAAAAAACTGAGCCCTTTGTCTTGGGTACCGCCCTGGCCTTCGGCTTCGAGCAGTATTCAAGACCTCAAGCACAGTGAATTGCCATACGGACGTCCTCCGGGCCGACTAAGCTTATTTTTACGATAAAAGATATTCTTGAAATGTTTTTAACCCTCATAGCAGCTTGCCCATTTATATTAGAAGGTCACATCAACCAAAAGTCACCGTAACAGTTTTTTCCAATGTCCTCTTTACTCCTGAAGCCAACTTCACAGTTGCAGTGGTAAGATCCCCGAGTGTTTGAACAAACGGAGTTTGAACCGCAGATATTTTTGACCAATTGACATTCATTTGTGTCTAGAAGATGAGGAGATAAGAGGTTAAGTTAAGTTAAGTCAAGTCGGACGAGACAGGAACTATTCATAAGCCAGCCTTGACAATTGGAGTTAAGTACATGCGACGTCTGAACAATTAAGAACAGCTTCTGCAATTTGGAAGAGCTCAACCGTTCTTCCCACTTAGCTTAGCCAGGAACTAGCTTAGTGGCTGAATCACTCGGCGCTCAAATTTTGATTTGAATCTGTCTACATTCGAAACCGAATTGCTCTATGAGAAGTTGTTTAGTCTGAACCAAGCGCAAGGCTATTTAAGGTCAAGTTCTGCTGTAAACAGAACCTATTCTCGTTTTTACTTTTGTTTTGGTTGTTCACTGTGATGTAAGTAAGATTTAAACGGAGAGAAGAAATAAACTGCTGGAGCCATTTAACCGACAGTTACGTGTGACGATTGAGCAAATAGTACACACAAAAAAATTGACATTTTCATAAAAAATAACTTCCAACTCAACCTTCCGAAGGAAAACCCTGTCTATCCCGAGAATTTTCCTTACTAAGCTTTACCGCGGCGTGTTATAAAGTATTATGACCATGCAAGGTAAATGGTAGAGGCTTGTATCGTTTAATTACTACTCTCTTTGCTCAATAATGATGATGAAGACAATGTCCTACCAACACAGATCTTGCCGTTGAAATGATAGCCTCCTTTGCAATCACACAGGTCAGCATCCTTGAAGTTATTACAAATTAAATTCTCTTTGCACAGGGCATTGGAACAGCGAGGTAGTTCTGGTATGATAGAGAAATCGTGCTTCATTCGAATTCCATTCGCTTGAAATAAAACTTTTTCAGAATAAGTATATTACATATATATTAAGTATATTATTATTATAAGTATATTTAATTTCATTTTTCATTGGGGGGGGGGGGGG